TCACAGGTGTGTGAATTGCAAGTCCGGAAACGACAAACTTAGATGGTCTCCCCGCACTCAGTGACTCTGCCCCCAACCTCTCCGAGGGACGCATGAATGAACAAGAAGATGGGTGAAGGGGCTAGTAGATGCAGTTGCCTGGCCGTTTTCGCGTCAGTCGCAAAATCCTGAGAGGGAGGTCACGGCCGTCTATCGGCCGTCACTTGTGCGGCCATCGAGTGATTGCAGCCCGTAACCACCGCCTTATTTCCGCGGCCGGGTTTGAGTACGACTCATAAGAGTTTTAGAAAGCATAAAAGTGCCCGCAAAACAAGCTGCTGCTCTGTTGCATGACAGACTTAAATCGGGCTTACGCAGTTCTGCATCATGCATTGTACAAATACGGTTCTCGATTATGAACATGCACCTGACCGCTAACAGTACTCATCTGTCTCGCTCTCCTTTGGGCCTCGACAGACACCCTGACAGCCATAGTAGCTGGTATTATAGGCAGACAGTTTTGCCGGCAAAGCACAAGGAGACTGGAATGACCATTTCTCACTTGTTAGCCGTCGTCAGCCGGTCATACCCAGACCCAATTGCTGCCCCACCCGAGCCTCGAACTCGCAACCTTTTTGATCAGAGACAAAAACCCTAACCATTGTTTCATCGGTTATTTGTGCCGTACTTTCGCTAACGATACCAGCTGTTCCACTTTCCGGCCAATATATCGTATATTGGTGATCCTCCCGCGCTAAATTTATCCCATTTTCATGATCAGTTGCCTCTGCAAAAGAAAAAAACACCACTGCAAATCGCACTCAAGCATCAACCAAAAATAAATTGTGTAGGCCCAATTATACATTTCTGAAAGCATATGATTACCCAATTGACTTTTAAAGTTCAACATTAAATTATTCGCGGAAGTGGAAAAATTGTCAATTCCAGGCTTCCTGTCAACAAATTGTCATTCGATCTGCAACGGAACTCACGATATGAAGCTACGCTTGTTGAAAAAAAGAGCGCAGTAAGACTTTCTTCAAAAGGTGTGGTTAATTAGTGGTATAGACTCGTAACTCGTTTTGCCCCAGTCTTTTTGGGGTTTTCAAGCTAATAGAAAACCGGTAGTATAGGCCGACACTATTGTTGGCAAAGATTAGGGAGACTGGAATGACTATTTCTGGCTTAATAGGCGTCGTAAGCCAGTGATAGCCAGACCCAAGTGGCACCCCCACCCTCGAACTCGCGAGTTTTTTTACCAGAGTCTAACACCCTAACCATTGAGCCACGAACTCGTTGCCTCACCGGTTTAGGTCGGGGAATATTGCCACGCCTTTGTGAACGTCAGAAATGGCCATTCCAGTCATCCATCTGCCTATACTACCAGCTGTTACGGCTTTCAGGGCCTCTATCGAGGCCCAAGACAGAGCGGGACGGATAACTTCCGTTAGCAGTCACTGAACGTTCACCTACGCGTCTCAATAGAAAACCTTCGTCGTGTAGCAGAGGTAACGGGGTGGCGATTTTTGGCAACCAGAATTGGTGTGTAAACTGTTCGTTCTTATTTCCCTATTCCGACAACTTGATAGACCCTATAGCTGTAATATGCAAGTTCTGATCGTTAAATCCGTTCAAAGGTACTGCAGTATTGGCTCATCTAACAGGTTTCACAAGGCATGCAGTATGCAGAATGCACGTCTACTTTGGTAGACAATATGCGACGAGGTAGACTGCCTCTTTTTTTCTGTTGGGCATTTAGTTAACTCAGCATGCTCTGCACCCCATGTTTTACCTTCAGAAAATGAAGACGTTCGGGTTGGACTGTCTTCAGAGGTCCTAATGATAACTACCTGTTTTTTTCCTTTTCAGTAGCCGGACTCTCTCTGCTGTTCGTTAAATTCCGCCAATA